AAAAAAAAAAAGCAACTCATTCTTAATGCATTTGAATGCCGTCCAGAAGGAAGGGAGGCAGTTTTTCTGTTACTGCCTCAGAACTTTTTTTTTTTTTCCAGCAGATTTGGGGCTCTCTCTGCATTATTTACCAATAGTTTAGCCTGAATACCTGCAAACATACCTGAATTAGTTTAGACACTGAGCCCTGTTCTACAGGCTTGGGAGCCACAGAGAGCTCAGGTTTTGGGACCAGGCTCAAGTGTGGGAAATGTGGATCAGCCACTTAGTAGCTTAGTGACTGTGGGCAGGTTTGCTCATTAACCTCTTTGAGCCTCAGTTGCCCCAACCTGTAAAATGCAACAGTTTTCCAGCTGTAAGGTAGTAACAAAGTGGCATGCTGTGAGGATCAACGGCATGATTATTTCAAGCTCTGTTAAAAACTGTAAAATACTATCCTTGTTTTTCTAAATGGATGCTTTTTTGAGATGATAGCTGTTATAAAGAAATTAAGAGTGACAAGCAGTTTTCCTTATTCCTTCTTCTTCAGGAAAATTCCAGACTCTGAGTCCAAACTCAGACCCAGGTTTCTAAGATTTCAGAAATTTATTTAGCAAATACCACAGCTGAGTGAAAAATGGACGAGTTTCTATTACAAGTTTGAGAGGGGAAATTGATCGAGTTCAAAGATGCACACAAAGTGTACATTACAAGCATTTGGCTCATAAAGATTTGATCCGATCTATTTTCTGCTTTAAAATTCCATATTTAGTAAAGGCTCCTTTTTATAAAATCATGAAACACATTTAAAGTTATTTTTAGTTTGAAAGAAAATGGTAAGTTTCTTTGAAAAAAAAAAAGTGTAGTTGACGTCTCATTCAATTTTATTGGTGCAACTACCAAGTAACCTGTCATCTCAACCTTCTTTTTCTTGTTTTCTTTCAATCTGGATTTATTTTCTCCACTAACAGCAAGTGTTTTACTCATTCAAATGAGACATTTTAGACTCTGGTGATAAAACCTCTATCTCCTGAAGGACAAACCGTGACGTCTTCAGAGTTGTTCACAATATCACTGGTTCCTGAAGTGGATATTCCACGCTCTTTGGCGACAGGGTTTGGAGCTGGAGTATTTGCATTTTATATGTGGCATTTACTGTAGGGCACTGTGGACACAAAACCGGCATTTGAATCGTGCGGGGGTGCCCGCCTGTGCTGTGCCACAATCTCACTCGATGAGCATCTTCCTTTCAACTTCGAGTAGGGTGTGGCATCAACAACCTCTTGGGTCCCTTCATAATTCTTGTCCTGCATGTCGTGTGCCCCGTGGTCTGTAACATGCTTGATGTGGTATAAAGTCTCTAATCCCAAACCCTCAACGACTCGCCCGTGAACATACTGTCCTAACTTTTTTTTTTTCCCTTGGCTTAAGTATAAGGCTAATGCCAAATTTCGTAATTCAAAAACCAGGCATTTAACTTAAGCGCCAATGGGAATGTATCCAAGACGTAAACTTGAGTTTGTTGGTTTATAAATTTATTCCCTCATCCAATCCCAAAACAGTCCTGAGCCCTGCTCATGGTGGGTTCGCCAACCTGGGCCACGTATCAGGAAGGTGAGGGCCAAGGAGAGGCAGGAAGGGGCTCTGGGGAGGGGGGCAGTAGGGGGCCCCTCCCACATCTGGGAGCAGGGGGAGCTTCCTCCAGGGAGTGGCCTCTCAGTAATCCTGGGCGAGATAAGTGGCATTGAGGCAAAAATCGAGCTCTACTTTTGAGAGAAGACGAAAGAGCAGGAGGCCATTTAACTTCACCTTACTGAAAATAAACATAACCGACGCCACGATGCTTCGAACAGGGAGGAAGCTGAGACCGGAGTGAAGGGGCTCTCTTTCTAGAAAAACCGCCCAGCAGACGGAGCCTTGACGTCTACACCCTAATACTCTACGTCATCAAGGCGATGGCAGATACGACTGGTCAGCTTGTGCAGGCTTAGGGTGAATTTAATATGTGGACAAGGAAGGGGTATTCTGCAAAGCCCAGCGCATTTACAGGATGCCTTTAAATCAGCGTCTGCTCCCGGCACCTCGTCGGGTGATTCCCTGGCACCCTCAGTCTTAAATGAGCACGCACAGCATGCGAACGCTAGCACCCTGACCTGCGGCCGGAGAGACAGAGGTGCGCACGGTCTGATGAAAAACGACAGGGCAGTCTCTCCACGCAGGAAGACACACTCGGCAGGAGCCTGAGCACCCAGCGACCTTCTCTGTGTAATTAAACTGTGGGTGTGGGAGAGCCTGAGGCTTCCTCGAAGCAAAAACCCTAATTTTGGATCTGGGTGGGTCCATACTATTCAAAGACAAACAAATATTGCATTGGCTGAAAATGTGACAAATCTTAGCTTTTATTTCAGAGCTTGCAATGTGGAGGTTTTCTCTTTTTTAAACATAGAAAACTTCCTAAATATTTTACTTATGTCACTCCAATTCCCTTCAAAGAACTAAAAATAAGTTAACCATTCAATGTGCTACTTGCTCTGAGGCCACTTCCCAAACTGTACTCATAAAGACACTGCTGAATGATTTAACCAGTTAGCATTTGAACATACAAATATATATATATTTTCTAATAATCCAAAAGCTGTAATTACAGCAGAACAAGCTGACGGGACCAGTAGGTTTAAAGCCCAAGGAATAATTCTGTAGTGTTTTCACTGTAGGCCAACATGTCCCACCAGACAAGTTACCATTAGCCTGTGAGGCGACAGTATAAGTCTGGGCTGACGATCACAGAACGCGCGTGAGGAGAAAGCTTTGTATGCTCATTGAAAAGTCTTTCCAGGCCCATTCAAAGTACATCAAGGAAAAACCAAGGATATGCATTCCAAAAAAAAAAAATAAATAAAATAAAGAGAAAGGAAGAGTGTCAGAGTGACCGATAAAGAAGTCTCGCTTTTATTTTGCATACTCGGGTGCCCTTGATTAAACACACTGCCTGATTTTAATGTGCCAAAAGCCGGTTCTCCTCAACCTCCCCGCTCCCCCCACACCCCTTTGGAGTCAAACGAGGAAAAAGCTCTCCCCATCCCCGTCCTGGTCCCCGCAGCAGGTTCATGGCACCTGCGCGTTGATTTACTGCACGGGCCTGCGTCCCTGGCCCAGTGGTAAGGGAGGAGATGGGCCTGGAAGCTGACACAGCAGGAGTGACCTTTCGCTAATCACTGTGCCTCCGTCGCCGGCACAGTTCTTTAGAAAGGGAACCGCTTCGTGCGCTGGCTTTCTCAAATCCAGCCACACTTTGATTTTCTCAAGAACAAAGATTACACTTTCGCATAAAGCTTCTGACGCCCAGTTCTGTCAGCTGGGGTACTAAAGTGAAAAAGGCACCCTGTTAGTTGTCTCTGGTCACTGAGGGGCTGCAAACTGCATCAGAGATAGGCCTGCCATCTTGGCTTTCATGATGGAGGTCAGAACATTTTTATTGACTGCCTGTTATTAAAACTTCAGAGGGATGCTAATCGTTTTTGGCTGCCCTGGATACAGGAATCTTGTTGGAAATTCCCCAGTAACTAATCCCTTAAAAAAAAAAAAAAAAATGAGTATACTATGCAGATAATCTCAGCCCCTCCTATAACTGTTGGAAATGCCAGAGGGAGGAGAGTGACTGGCCAGCAGTGATTCTAATTTTAACACCTCAACCAGAAAGCCAGTAGGACTGGTGACTGCTCTCTGTCGTTCTTTTCCCTGCTGCCCTTGGCCTCTGAACCCCGCCCCACCCCCAAATTCAGACGACAGCCAGCCAAAAGGAAAGGCCTGGTCCACGACTCACCAGCCATTTGCTGAATTCCACTGAATGCACCCAGGTTGCTGGAGGAGGTCGCCTGCTGCAGGAGCTGCAAAGGAAGGGAAAGGGTACGTCAACGCGGCGTGGACATGTGGCCCAAGCGACTTCCGGATTGAACTGCGGACGCGTCCAGTTTCCTTTACGTGTATACAGTTGGTCGTTCCCGTCTTGCACGGAACTGAAGGTTCCCCGAGTCGGGGCCGTAAATCATAGTAACGTCTGATCTCTGGTAAGCGACAGACACTGGGGAAACTCAATAACGTTGCTGCCTTAAAACAATTAATCAATGTACTCCTTTTAACAACCAGGTGTTAAATTTATTGAAACCAACATGGCGTGACTAATGCTCTCTCTCTGTAGTCTAGTAGTTACTGTAACTCATCCCTGTCAATCAAGGTCCATCCCTCACTTGCTTCCTGCTTCCTTCACAGCTCAGTTTCCTTCATCCTTTATGAGAAGCACATGGATTCACTGACTCTTGGCCCAACACAGAAATCATCATAACTACAGACATAGATGTATCTATTCACAGCCATGACTACATGACTAAGACAGCGGCCATCCATTTTAAGATGGTCCTTACCAGCACAGAGAAACACACTATTTGTTGAAACTTAGGAGCATCTGATGCAATGTACACTGACGCTATGCGTTATAAGTATGTCAGCATCTTTTTAAAAAAGATGAACATATCTGTGAAAAGGTGTTTGCATTTCTCCTGGAGCTTTCAAACACCCCCCCTTCTCACACATAGAATCAGTAAGTACCACAAGGTAAAGCATGTGGCCACTGTCCTAAAGTGATCCTTTATTTGCCCAATTGATTTGCATGACAGGTTAACACACTTAGGCTCTATCCTAAGAGTCTGACTAGATTTACTGATGTTCTCATTCCTGTAAAGGAGATCAGTACAGACGTAGTTTGTATATAGGTACGAGCATATATAGTTGCCTCCTCTGCTCAAATGTACATGGGACCAAAAAGCACAGATCTACCACATTTATTACTGAAAAACGGCTATGTGCTTCAGAGGAACAACATGAATTTGCTATTTAAAAAATAGCTTTCAGAATTCATCTGGAGCTCTGCAAAACATAATAGTAGAGCACCGTCATTCTTCCGGGGAAGTCAGTTCGATAAGAAGAAAACTCCACGACACCTGTGACTACTGGCTGCCTTAAAGAGTGGGTATCGTGGGTATCGGTGGCTAATTAAACCAAAGACTTAGTGACAATGACATGCGGGGATTAACACGGTTACCAGAAAAATGTATCTAATGTTCACTCATCCCTTTCGACTTGTTGAAATGTATTACCTGGGTGTATCTCTCTCTCTCTCTCTCTCTCTCTCTCTCTCTCTCTCTCTCTCACACACACACACACACACACACACACACGAAGAAAGGGAGGAAGAGGGAGGAGCCAGGAACCATCCATTCCGACACAGGAATACCTTATTTCGGTTTGATTCCTTGGCTTTCCCATTCTCTTGTGGTTGTAAATCCTTACTCCTTCCTATTAGATAGAAAGAACCGAGGGTTCTTTCCACTGACCACTGCTCTGAGCTGGAGTCGGGACCCGCCCCTGCTCACGGCGGAGGGGGGCATCCCGGGGGGCATCTCGAAGGCCACAGGCCCTTCCAGAGACGCGGACTTTTGACTGAAAGGAGGAGAACGGGGCGAAGAAAGAATGGAGGCCCTGGACCGAGAACGGAGTTGAGAGCGCACAGCAACGTGTTCTATAAATGAGGATGAGATGACTCTCTTGCAGGGTACAGACCTCATTGGCAGGTGTGACCAGAGACACGTGCCAGAGGTTGCTGTGAGCCGTGGGGCGAGGGAGACGTGCCAGAGGACCAGGGACAGGCATGTGTCTTGGCTTTTGGGAACGGTGGTGCAGGAAGTCGGGCAAACTATGAAAAGGTGAGCTTGACTTTGGTCTCTGATAAGAATTCTTGTTTATGCAATTAAACAGATGGCCTGTGCACACGCTTAGGAAAAACAAACAAACAAATTCTTATTAAGTTAGACTCATTTCTTTTTTCATAAAATTTCTAGACTGACAGACCAAGGAGAAGACATGGTGGAGCATATAGAGACTTCGGCGAGACAGCGGGCAAAGTCTCTGATGGTGTCTACGTGGACCTGATGAGAAATGGCGAGGAGATGGCAGTGAACCTGGTCGACGCTTTCGGTAAGGACGCAGATGGAGACAGGAGAGGCCTGCTCCTCGTCATGAATCAGACACGTACTGAGTGGCTAGTACATGCCAGACCCAACAGGCACCGGGGCGGGACGGGGAAAACGAGGAGCAGGAGCCACGTATGTCCCCTGAGAAGCAACACGGCGACACGGGAGAACACACAGACCCATCTGACCGTCAGTGGCACGATCTCGGGTCGAGTGATGTGACCTTTTTGAGTCTCCATTTTCTCATCTGTACGAGCAGGATGGCCTGGCTTGTCAAGGCCACAGGGAAGACTACTTTACAGAATGGTATAGGGTCTGTTACAAGGAAAGGCTAACGGATGATATAATCCTGAGAGGGACAGTTAAAGGTCAAATGACAAGAGTTAGGACACACACACACGCCCCTGCAGACATGCACACAAATACACGGGCACAGGCTGGACTAAAAAGATCTATCTCACAATATGAAATTATATTAACGAATTAAATCAGTCACATGTTTATGCTAATCCATTTAAGTTGGGAAAATATTCTGCATCAATGCTGAGTTCAATCATTTCCTAAGATTCAAAATGTCCCCCGCACCGTCCCTCCCACTCCCCCCGGTTGAATTCTTGAGCGTCCTTAAAAGACGAGCAACTTGTGAGAGCATCCGGTGTGGATGTCCCCCTCTGTCCTGGGGACCACTCACTGACTGGCCCCCGGCACTTACCGCCAGGTACTGCGGGGTGAGTCCGCCCAGACCCGTCAGGTTCCCCCAGGTGGCAGTGTTGAGCTGTTGCATCTGCTGTGCCAGCTGCTGCTGGAGGCGCCTTTGCTCCTTGTCCTTCTGAGTGTCAGCGAACTTCACCACAATAGGCGAAGAGCAGCCCTGTGGTCAGACACAGCGGAAAGTGAGGGAGTTACAGCCTGGCCGAACCCTCTCGCGAGACTGAGCTCTGAATCCAGCTTTCTGACCTATCTTGGAACACATGGAATGGTCTGGAACGGTTTCTAAAGTGGTTTGATCCTCCTTCTTCTTTTCTGAATAACGACCACGACAGAAAATTACAGATCCTGTCACTGGCTTCTCTGGGTCTCTGGAGGTCGGTGAAGCCACCTGCTTTCTTGCTCTGATTATTAAACTGCCTCTCCTTCCTTCTTCGTGTGCTTTCCTTCAACCTTGCCGGGGCCTCCTCAGAGAGAAGAGGCCTTACTGATGGTCCCTCATTCAGCTTCACGGTTCCCTTGCCTGAACGACAGACCTGGTCTGCGTGTCTGCCTGTTCTCATGTGTGAGCAGAGGACAAAGAGAGGGAATGGAAATGTCTCTCATTCATTCATTTTTTTTTTTTTTTTTTCCCATTTTCGGCTATGCATTTTTGAACTGTGGAACTGTGGGGATCATACTGATCCAGCAGTATAATCAGGAGAAGTGAATTTGTTTTAGAAACGTGGACGAAGGAAGGAGATATTCAGAGAACCACAGGCACTGACCAGCGTTAATAGTTCCCACGTTTTGGGAAAGACTGATCTTCCTTCTGTATGACATCTACCCTATCCACAGTCCCCAGAGCTACTGAAAACCAAAAAAAGAAAAAAAAAAAACAAAAAAGAAAGAAAGAAAAAAGAATAGTGTAGTCAAAGGAGATACATCTTAAATGGCAGGAGGAGTCTACTTGGCTTCTTATCTGTCTTCACCTTTCTCGTAGCTTCTATCAATTTTCATTTCCCCTAAAAGGCGAGTAGGGGCAGCGACTGAGAAACGGCCCAGGTCACACGACAGGGCGATTCCCGCTGGACGCAGGTAAAATCGCTGGGGGAGAGTGGGCCGGACACCGCCAAGTCCTCCAGGCCGAAGCGCCTTCTACCCTGGCCAGCACTCGGCAGACACAGGCTCTCCTCCCGCACACGCTCTCCTCCTCCTCCTCAGTGTGTCCTGCCTACACGCTTCATCACAATGAAAGCTGTGCAATTCTGCTGAGGTAAAAAGAAGTAATTCTACCCCAGTGATTAACAAAAAAAAAAAACCCGCCACCGGTTTTTATTGAAACTCAGCATGATAACTGACCTCTCTCCCTCCTCTCGAAAGTTTTATATTCCTATTCGAACGAGCTTTTCCTTTCTCTTCCCTTTGGGTCACTTTTTCTTTCTCCTAGAAAACAGACTTGCATTTTTTCTTCTTGGCACCTTGGGTAGTTATTGGGGATGTAACTATGAATGCGTGAGGTGATCGTGTCCGTTCACAAAACAAATTAAAGAAAAAAAAAAAAGAGAGAGAAAAATGAGGTGACCGAGCATGGGACTTCCAGTGTCTTGGTGTTCGGGTCTGGTCACCACAGTTACAGTACAGAATGTTAAATGCCAGTAAATTGCATAAAAGTGCTATTTCTACCATGAAAAAAAAAATATGCTTCATTTTTCTTCATCTGCTCCCTATTTCAGCACTTCATACTTTAAAAGAGGGCAAAATACTCTGAAGATGGAAATGACAGAGAAAGGGTTTTGCATGGAAAAGGGTTGTTAGCCTATCAAATTTGTTCCGTAACAAATTATAGCATCTCTTCCTAACAGTACAGTTACTGTTTTTATTTTTTTTCTTCCTTAAATATAAAAAAAAAATGATATAAAAGCAGAAAATCAGGCCAATGATTATAGCTCAGAAAAAAAAAAAAAACTTGTTTAAACCATAAAACGGAAAAATGGGATAGGGACAGGTTGGAGGACAGTGGAAAAAACAGAAGGTACAATGTCAAAAATCAATTATTTTTAGAGAACGTGTTCTTTTAAACATTAACATCCACATCATTTTGAATTCGAATCTCTTAGATAATACGTCTTGGCTAAAGATGTGAGCCAGAGTCCTGAAAATAATGTAACTCATTAAAAAAACAAACCTCAATTGTACAACTAAAATGTAACTAACTGCATAATGTATAATTTTCCATTTAAGTGTCAATATTTTTGAATTAAACAAGACAGTTAGGTGTCTGAGGGCCCTCTTTTTTTGAGAATAGACGTCCAGATTAATATAAGTGTGCCCAGTTTGATTTTTTATAATCGAGGTATTGATGACGGAGGATCGGGGGCTCCTTAGGAATCAGCATGCCCCATTCTCTACGGCAGAACCTTTTCCTCACGTGAGCCGAATACTCCTTGGGTCGGGTCCATGCCCAGTTCTGCTTTGTCCTTGAGCCCTACTCTGTGTGAACACAGGACCCTGACCCCACGGCAGCTCTCTCCGGCTTCACTCAGGGGGCTCTGAGTGAGGGAACGGGGGGTGGCAGTGTTCCTAACAGAGCTGAAAGGATTTAGGCTAAATAAGTAGCTAAGGTGAGACCAACTTAGGTACAGATCACTCGATTACTGGAAATCAAAATAACTGAGAATGAGACACGTACATGGAAGATCATACAGGTAAAGACTTTCTTTTTTTCCTAACGGCACTTTCATTTTAATCCCCAAAGTGAAATGAAGCTGGAAATCAGACTGATCCTCGATAGTGGAGCAGCCAAAGCTCACAGATAGGGGGCCAGAAGCAGTGTCACGTATGTCATGGCATGTGGTACAAATCCTGCTAATGATCTCCTATCATGGCTGCTTTTCACCTGTGCTTGCCTTCAGGTGGGGGCGGGGTGGGGGGTGGGGTAGGAGTGTCTTAAAAATGCATTGCACTGAAAGGAAAACACAGTGATTATATAAGGTATGTTAGGAATATAGAAGTCAAAATGAAGTTCCAAAAAGACAACAGGCTTTGCAATGCTGATATCAAAACTCAGAAAAGTACAGTAAACACGTATTGACAATGCCATGCACACTCCTCCCCCCCACGCACCTTTTGGCTCACTGTAAAAAAAGTGGCCCACAAAACATGACACATAATGAGCACTTAGCTCCCAGCATGCTTTGGGAGATGCAGCATTGCAAAAAACAAACAAAACAAACAAACAAAAAAATACCACCACCCCCACCCCCACAAAAAAATGGAGGCAAAAAAAGCTCAAACAATCAATAAAGAAGTTTTTGCAACATTACGTAAAATTGAAAAATTTTTTCCCAAAAGATGGAAAACAGAACTTCAGATAACAGCACAAGGCCACCCGTGGAAGAGACCACCCACACACAGATACAGTGTACGCAGCACAGCAGCCGTGCGCTCCCAGATGACTATCAGACAGTACAGAATAGTAACAGCGTATCACTCTCGGAATGCTTTTGTGCAAAATTCTGAAAGGCCATGACCCAAATCACAGACTAAAAAGACAGAAACATCTATCTGCATCAGTGGGTGAACACCCACGCCTGTGTATGGATGTTCCCCTAGAGCCACTGTCTCCCATTAGGAGACCAAATTTGAGCCTTTATGTTTTTTTGGTTATTGGTCTTTTTTTTTTAGTAAGGAGACAAGTCTAATTTTCAGGGGACTCTCATCAACATGACCATTTTCACTGGTTCGGAGACGTGGGAGAAGTTGTAACTTTCTCCAACATTCTCGATGCAAAAATACCATTCTGTTGGACTCTATAATTAAAAAAAAAAAAGAAAGAAAGAAAGAAAGAAAAAAGAACCCTGTGAGTTAGCACAGGGCAAGCTGCAATTTGGGGTGATGCTGTTCAAGCTTAATTTGTGCCCACCCTGGGCTAGGAAACGGGTGTGACCCTTCAGGGCCCATTTGGCTGCACCATGACTTGTCATGGCGGGCCCTGGGCCACTGCAAGAAAAGGCTCAAAAAATAATGGCAAGCAGGTTTCTTGTCCTAAATGCACTTCAAGTCATTAGGGGAAAAACTGAGAGAGAGAG